GCAGAGTACCTCCCTGGATGTGCTAGGCCACAGAATGTGCCACCAGAAGAATTTAGTCTGTTGGATCGGCCTGATTGTCTGATAGCGTAAGATCAATGCTCGCCTTCGCGGTGATCCGAACTACGAAAACCTGATCCGTGCAACCACACACTCCAAACGGCCTGACCAATACACTCCGGGGTGAACTTTGTCTGAGATCGTGAACTTTTTCCAGCCACTTGAGGGACGAGGAAGCTACTCTGATATTAAACTCGAGTGAAACTCATAATCCGTCTACTTCCATTGTCAGGTTCAATTAAAGTGTCGTAGTGGTTTCTATGCCTGACAGGACCCCTCATTCGAAGGAGCCCTTTTGCCTAGTTTCTGAGACCTGTAGGCTCGAACTTCTCAGCTGTCATCTACTTCAAAAGAAGTCCTAGCACCTAAATATGAACGCCTTTGGAGTCCAATATTTACCGAAAATATCCTCCGGTTCTTAGAAAAAATTAACTACAAAGCATCTGCTAGCTGGATGCACGGGCGCTTGAAAACCCACTCCTACATGTGGTATATCATCTAATTTCAGATTGACTTAAAGGTGCCCGCGGACTGAAAGAACATTGTTCTTAGTCGATCTCTTTAAAGAGCGGCAAATCACTGTATACGAAGGGCAATGACGCAGGCGCCCTTGAGCATCGCCACTGCTGTCTACAGACCACGATCGTCTGCTTTGTTCATACAGCAAGGTGGTATGCCCCTGAAATTTCTCCCTTTGGTTCGAACCTACTATCACAAAGCAGGGACTAATGTCCCTTTGAATGACAAGCAGATGGACGTATTGATGTGACCTCAGGTGTATTTCAGGGCTACGCTCTTTTACCAAGCTGTTCAAGCACTTCATAGTGTGGGTTCTTCAGTATGTACATAATGGATCTTCATTTTGCTGGGAATGTTCTGTTACTTGCGAGCCACCTTATTCTGTGTCTCATTTAAGCACAAAAGCCGTCTAGGTGGGCCTTAAAACCGCCTTCTTCAAGAGGAAACTAACTGTGTCCGGCCAAACAGGCACGCGTCGTTCTCATCCGTCTTCGTTAAAGCCTCCGCAATGGACACGAGATCAGTCTAAACAATAGTTCACCATTATAGGAGACTTCAATCTAAATAATCCTTCTGTACACTTATAATACTTGATCCATGCGCTCAGAAGTTATGCTCTGCCCGAATCAATGGTGTTCTTACTCCAACCAACGGCTATACAGTCGGTCATGAACAGAACTGGGCAGTTGCGGACTCCTTACTCTCCACCACTAACAGCTTGACCATTTCCTACTCTAACTTACTGGCGAAATCGTCCGCGATGTTATCTCGCCCCGACTGCCGACGGCTTCGAGGTGGCCTACTGGAGAAACGAATAGGCGCAATAAAAGCTAAACTCGAGCGCATTTGTGACCCTGTTTTTTTTTCTCGATCGACCGGACCGACAGGCCAATGGGCTTAATTTAGTTCTCTGTTCTGCCGCTGTGGCAAAAACACATTTTGACCGTTCATCACGCGATACATTTGTAACATAGAGCTGGATACGTTTGCTACGTCAGATTATTTAACTTGTTATTAACTTACTAAAACCGACAATTCAATAAATTTACGTCTACCAAAATTTTTATAAGGTGGGTTAGGCATCAGTACCCTCTCACATTTGACGGTCAGTCCATCGTATCGAACCGACAGAGTGATTCACCTTAAACACTTTTTACAAGCCACTGCAACAAAAGACAGCCTTTCTCTCACCTTTTTTATGCTATTCATTTGCAGCAACTTCTGAGCTCTATGGGAACCATTCTCCAGCTCTTCAATAAGTACAAAAGGAGCGACGAATGCCAATTTCGAGCGCTTGTTTGCATGGCTCTGAAGTGAGTCATTATTGTCTCTTTTTTCTGTCCAGTCACAGTCTTTAGAAAGGTATTACGTGAGTACAAGTCCTCCAGTCAGTAGCTTCAGCTCATTTGCCGGTGTCCTTTGTTTAACTCACGTGATCGTTGGATTTATCTACACCAGTGTACAAAGTCACTCCTACTAACGTCATCTTATGTTAATTCGGAGACGCCCCCACAGTCTGCTCTGCTTGTGTGTCTCGCGTTTGGTGCGCGTACCGCCCACTTTCCTGCAGTTGAGGGCTCACTGTTAGTTTTTGATCTTTGCTCTGAATTGGAGTATAAATGGGGGGGGGTAGCTTTCCAATTCCTCCTTTTCTAGGAAGTCGTTTATGTTAATCGCTCACGACTTACTGTTGCTCTCCTTACAGCTCCCACAAGTTGGTGCCCTGGCTCAAGCTCGTGCTGCGGAGCCCTTTCATTGTGCAATATATGTATCAGCCCTGGAGTTATGTCGCCTCTACAGGTACGTTGGGTGCTTTTTATTAATGTGGAATCGCTGCCAGCAGACTAGGCCT